AGACACCACCCAGACCCGGCCAGGTCTTCCTTCTCTTTAATCCTGCTTTCTTTGGTCCTCCTCAGCCTGCCAGGCGCGGGGCTCGCTCCGGTAGCGGGAGGGAGACTGGAGGGGAACCGAGGGAACGAGCACAATCCTCACTGAGCCAGGAGTTGTCCACTGACTGGAGGAAGGTGCCAAAGCTGACCCCGGCTCCAGCCTGCGAGCGGGCGGGGGCAGAGACGGAGCCCAGCCTCGCCTTATTTCCACCAATCACAGGCCGCCCAGCAGGGTCGGAGACGCTCTGGGCTCCAGGAGAGGCTGAGCTCGCTCGGCAGGAGGCGGGGATTGCGGAAAAGAAGAACCAATAGGAGAAAAGGTTCCCCGCCCCTTTGCCTTGATGGACTACCACATTCGGGCCAATGGGAGAATTCTCATTTCGAAGAAAGCGGGACTTGAGAAAGAAGCTGCGCGGAGCAGGAGGGGTCGGGGCTGCGCCGCGTGGAGTGGCCTGGCCTAACAGCAGGGAGGGCAGAGCTATGCTCTTTGACCTCCCAGAAGAGTCACGTGGGCTGACCCGGAGCCGGGGCGGAAAGGGTGCATTAGTTTCTTCCGGGTCATTGACAGAAGCGTCAATTCCTGGGAGTAGTTCGTTGGTTTGCCCTTCATCCTTTTGCCTGCTCCCGGCGAGGGGTGGCTTTGATTTCGGCGATGAGCTCCCAGAAAGGCAACGTGGCTCGTTCCAGACCTCAGAAGCACCAGAATACGTTTAGCTTCAAAAATGACAAGTTCGATAAGAGTGTGCAGACCAAGGTAGGAACCTGCCTGTTGCACCGTCTCTGACTCCAGGAAGGAATGGTTCACTGGAGAGGGGAGAGAGGAAATGAGAGGAGTCGACTGGGGCGAGTGTGGACCGCAGCCCAGAGTTAGTCTTGGCTGCAGCGCAACTCTTTCTAAAATGTTATTCTCACGCCCTTTCTTTGACCTGGACATGTTGTCTCCTGGTAAATATTTGATGGTCAGCACACTTAACTAATTGCACAGAGTGAACAGGACCCTAATCAAATCTAAGGTGCAAATGGGGCAGTTACATCGTTCAACGTTTCCATCTGGATCACATTAGCAGAGGGAAACGAGGATTGTGGCATGAGTGTCTCTCTCAAACTTTACACCAAGTTTATTCAGCTACGATTTTTTTTTTCCCAAAAACCCCAAGCCCACAGGGGAAATGTGAATGATTAAGTGGTCTTAGGCTGTTCTCACTAGTATAGTGGGAAATTTCTATTTTGTAACAATTGTTTTGAAGATAAAAATATTTGGTTAATGTAAAAATACTTGTTTTGCTGTTTATCTTTAGCAGGACTTCTGTAAACTGGAAAAAATTCAGACTAGATAGCCAGAGGACTTGGGTTGTATATAAGTACTAATGTGCAGGCTGGGCGCCGTGGCTTAAAGTGCTGTAATCCCAGCACTTTGGGAGACCGAGGCGGGTGGATCACCTGAGGTCAGGAGTTTGACACCAACCTGGCCAACATGGCATAACCCCGTCTCTACTAAAAATACAAAAACTAGCTGGGCGTGGTGGCGGGCTCCTGTAATCTCAGCACTTTGGGAGGCCGAGGTGGTGGGCGGATCACCTGAGATCAGGAGTTCGAGAACAACCTGGCCAACATGGCGAAACCCCGAATCTACTAAAAATACAAAAATTTGCCGGGCGCCGGTAATCCCAGCTACTTGGGAGTCTGAGGCAGGAGAATCGCTTGAACCCTGGAGGCGGTGGTTGCAGTGAGCTGAGATCACATCACTGTACTCCTGGGCGACAGAGCGAGACTCCGTCTCAAAAAACAAAAACAACTACTAACTTGCTGTTTGCTGTGAATCTCTCCCTGTCTCCATAGCTGTATGGAGAGAAAATCATTGACGACAGGGGCATATTAGGGGCCAGCATCACTCAGGTAAACCTAATATTCACATAGGTTATGAAGCTCAAATTTACTAGATGTGTGGCTTGAGTGAGTTATATAATATTTAGTTTATCTGAGCCTTACTTTGGTCTCAAATGACAAAGTTATCAGGATTGTTGGGAGGCTAAACTATGTGATATGCATAAATGGCCTAGGTCATAGTAAATGTTCAATAAGTGATTAATTTCCCAACATTGATTGGGAAAGCAAAGTAATCTGTTTTTGGTAACCTGTGGTCTCCTTTCTTTTCCTTTCCTCTTTCTTTCTTTGCTTATTCTACAAATATTTAATAAGCACCTTCCATGTGCAAGGCCCTGTGTTCATAGGTATACTATGTTCAAAAGAGCTGACTCTGCCTTCACGGAGCTTATAGTTTCTAAGTGATATGGGCAAAAAGTAAGCAGAAAGATAAATAAATACCAATTATAAATGTTGGTGAAGGACAACACAGGTCAGTAAGGGAGAATAAGGAAGAATATTTTAAATTGAGTGCTCTCCTTTCCCCCACTTGGGTTGAGAGGTTTTTGAGAATGAAAACCTGAAGCAACATTTGGGAAGACTTTCCCAAGTTTGCTCCTATTATCAATAGGTACACCAGAATAAAAATAAAAAGCTGCACTATTCCAAACAGATGTCTGCCTCTTTTGTATTCTTACCGTAAGGTTGTGCACAAACATTTGCTTTTGATTGTTTTTCATGACTGTTTTCGTAAAAAGCAGTTTTAACTAAAGTGTAGCTATTCCTAGGCTTCTCCTACTTGTACTTTTCATTGTGCATTTTGTTGGTGTTATCTAATAACTATGCCATTCTCGTCCTAAATGTTTTCCTGGGTCTCAGGTTCAGTCACTAAGTTGCAATTGACCATTTTTATCTTTTTATCTTTAATTCCTTTCTCTCTTTTAAGTTATGGAAAAGTCTCATTTGTTAATCAGGAGGACCACCAGGCCACTTTGTTATTGAAGGTTCTGACAAAAACAACACAAAATATTTTACTGAGGAAAAATCATTAGGTTGATTGTTCATCTGTGTAATGAATAGCTAATAATGGTCTGTGATCATAACAGATTGTTGCATCTGCTATGAGTAGCCATCTAAAGGCAAGACTTTGTCAGAAGCATCTGACCCCAACTTCGTGCCTATTCTTTACACTGCAAAGCTATTTGATTTGGTGACATCTAACAAAGGAGTGATAAAAAATGCCCGTTCTCTGTAACTCCCCATAAAGCAAGCTTGTCCAACACATGGCGCAGGGAGCATTTGAATGCAACCCAACACAAGTTCGTAAACTTTCTTAAAACATTACGAGTTTGTTATTTTTTGTTTGTTTGTTTGTTTTATAGCTGATCAGTTGTCATTAGTGTTAGTGTATTTTATGTGTGGCCCAAGACAGTTCTTCCAGTGTGGCCCAGAGAAGCCAAAAGATTGGACACCCCTACCTTAAAGGATTGTAGTAACAATTGACTGCTTGTATTAAACACTTTGTGATTTGGTAAGGGTCCTACATGATGGTTTTCCTTTTCCTTCTCTGCCAAGCAGTTTGTTAGGACTTCACTGCGATTAGAAGTTGGATAATTATAGATGTTGTATTGGAAGTTTATATAGGTAAAGCACTCATTCTCAAAAGGACACAAATGATAGCTTTCTTCATATACTTGAATATACTCTAGAAAAGGAGAGTATATTCAAGTTTTGTGCCATTCCAAATGGCCAAACTTGGACCAGGGAGTCAAAGTAACAAAAATAGGTTTCAGCTCAATATAAGGAATTGTCTAACAGTAAAGGGGCTTGCGCCAGGATTTGTAACCTCCTCTTCCCTGGGGTTATTTAAAAGGGTCCCTATGGCCATTGGTCAGCCGTACCCTCAAATGACTTACGGAGATTGGGAGGGTCAGCAGTGGGAATAGGTTTAAATCTTTTCTAGTCATTTACTACTAAGATGTTGAGCGGATCAAGGCAGCCTTCTTTCCCGTCCTGGAGAGGCAGTGATGTTCAACAAAAACAGCATTGGACTAAGAGAAAAGAGCCATTCCTTAGCCCCAGTTCTGTCATTTGTTTTGCTTGGTGATGTCAGGCAATTTACCTATAGCTTTTAATCTATGATACTGGGTTAGTACTATCTCTTGTCTTACCTTTCTCTCAGGATTGCTACAGGGATCATTAGAAAAATAATAATTATTATTATTTGTATTTATTTATTTTGAAACATAGTCTCGCTCTCTCACCCAGGCTGGAGTGCAGTGGCGCGATCTCGGATCACTACAACCTCCACCTCCCAGGTTCAAGTGATTCTCCTGCCTCAGCCTCCCGAGTAGCTGGGATTTCAGGGGCGCACCACCATGCCTGGCTAATTTTTGTATTTTTAGTAGAGACGGGGTTTCACTGTGTTGGCCAGGTTGGTCTCAAACTCCTGACCTCAAGCAATCCGCCAGCCTCAGCTTCCCAAAGTGCTGGGATTACAGGCGTGAGCCACTGTACCTGGCTACAAAAATAGTTCTAAGAAATAGGGATAAAAATATGAACTAAGAATAAAGCCTGTAATAATTTATGTGGACCTGCAGTTGATCAAAGCCTTAAAAAATTGATTAGAAAAGAAATGCACACTTGTTGAAGAATACTGAAACAATAGAGAAGTATATAAGGTACTGTATAAAAGTGAAAATCTGTTCCCAGTTTTAGTCCTGTTCGGATGTAGTCACTGTTAACACTTTGATGTGTACATTTCTAGACATCTGTGTATGATGCAGTGTGTATGTAATAAAATACATGTTTTCCCTTCTCATTCAGTAAAGTAGATGTATCAGAACAGAAAGATTAAGCTCATTTTTAAAATGGCTGTGTAATATTATACAGCACAAATGTGGATTAGCTTATTTAAGCACTTTCCTATTAATAAACATTTGAGTTGTTTTCGGTTTAGCACTATGCCAAAAAGCCTGCAGTGCAATTCTGGTATTCATGTCTTTATTCCACATCTATTATCTAGTACCAAACATTGTGCTAGATATTGGAGGTATAGGGTTGAGCAAAATATAGAGTCACAGTCTTAATTGAAGCTTGTGATTTGGTGGGAGAAGTGACAGGCATTAATCAAAAGTAATCCTAAGATAGATGCAAAATGATCCCATTTTACATATTGGGAAATTAGGGCTTAGAGGTGAATGACATGCCCAGAGTTACGTAATTAGCACGTGCCTCTTCATTGGTTGGATGGGGTCTGTGGGAGGACAATTCAAAGGGCAAGTAAATCAAAAGCCCTCCATGTGTATGTGTGATTTTAAAATATACATACTGTATTTTTGGGTGTAATAGAAGCAGTGTGACACCAAATTAGGGTCAGAACAGAAATGAGTGCTGTTTATTGCCACTGATCCTAAACATTGCCTGTTTGAAATGTTCTAGGGAGAGTCTCTCCTCATAAGGTGTGGTCCCTGGAGTATCACATGCCAAAAATGTGGGCTGGTTGGGGTGGATCTCATCTCATCAGCCTGGGCTCTGTAGCAGAGGCTCCTTTTGCTGACTTACTGTGAAAGTAGATAGTAATTTAGTCCATTTTCTTGGCTCCTGATTTAGGCAGAAGGCTGTCAAGTTGAAGATTAGTTATGATTGCATTTATACAGCAGAACAGGATTCTGTGTTTACATACACCTTTATTCACAGTTGTCAAAAATGGGGAAAACCTCCAAATATCTATCAACAGAATATATATAAGCAGATTGTGGCAGATGCATGTAGTGGAATACTACTCTGCTATTTTAAAAAAAAAAGAACCACTGATATAAGCAAAGCAGATGAATCTTGGAAACATTAATGTGGAGAGAAAGAAACCAGATACAAAAGAGCATATTATGT